TACTTATCTTGTATTTTGGCTTAAGGTTTGGATTATGTGATGTAATTCTTGCTTAATTACATAGTTCAGAGTCGGTTTACAGTTGCTGTTCCTTCCCTTTTGGTATAAAATTACACCATTTAAAGCATGTAAATAACAAATTTAAAGATGAGAAAGCGAGAGGGTTTTTTTAATAATTCTAAGTTTCAGAAGAAGCTGTGAAACTGAAGTTCCAGGATCTGCTCAGAAGACTGATTTGCACTAATTTAATTAAATCCCTTCCAGTAGTATTTGGAGAATCAGCAAAGCATTGTTAGGGTATGATGCAATAGTGGACCTAAGTCTCAGTTCTCCTGGTCTTCATTCGCTACCTTCCTTTCCTTAATCCTCTTTCGTTGTCTGTATCTTTCTTGTACCAGTACACATCATTCCTTTCTGTGAGCCATTTTAACTCATTGATTTGGCAGAAACTGCTCTGGCTTTTTTCTGCCAGAGTAGTAATTTGAAGGACCTTGTAGAGCAATCTACCAGGCATCAAGGTAATCTAAGCAATAGACTATACAGCTGTGAATAGGAAGAAGGAGATTTGAAAAAAGAGAAACTTCCTCTGGTCAGGAATGTAGCACTTTGATCAGCTCACCATCTGATGGAAATGCACTCTTAATATTTTCTCTAATGATAAACCTGACTGAAAAACTTACTGTCCTTTGCCTTCAGACACTTATTTGCAGTCTCAGGCCATTTCCCACTGACTCATTCAGTTCTTTGGTTTTTAACCTTGATCATTTCAGCAACTTGGATAACACTGTGCTCACAATTTGGCCAATCAAGAGAGTGAGGGGGACAGTACTGAGCAGTGGTACAGGACTAGGAACAAGTAGCTGGAAGCAGTGGGAAGAAGTGCATTAAACCAGACTTACAGCTGAAGAGCGATCATGTAATTGGACAGTATATTTTGCTTGTTTTCATATGACTTGAAGTAAATTACACAAGCATTAGTTGCAGACGAAGTTCAGACCTCATTGCAAGTTCAATGTTAGCCACATCTAACAGTCCTTGAAGTGTAAAAATAAATCCCTGATTGAAAACTAATCTGTAAAAGTGGTCCTGATAACCTCAAGTGTTTTGGAGGCAGGCAGTGTATTTAAAGCTGGTCTTGAGCTACTTTTTCCATGGCGAAGTGCCTTTTAGTACTCTTCCTTTTGTAGTATTTTAAAAAAGTGGTTAAAGACGACTGAATTCTTCTGTTACTGAGACAAATGGGAAATTAACAACTGGTACAAGACAGCTGTTTCCTTAGAGCTGTCATACAGGGAGTGTATTATGATATAAAGTACTCTGGTAGCAAGGATAATAGTGCATACACAGGAGATAGTACATTGTACCATACAGGAATATACTTACCCTCTGTGATTTGAAAAGTCTTGCATGAAGACGTGGGCAGGCTAGTGAACTGTTCTTCACCAAAAAGAAAAAAAAAAATCGCTCATTTTGCTGTGAACTTGATTTTTACGGAAGTATGTGCGCCTCTAGATTAGAAAATATTTCCAAAGAATGAAGTTACAAATGTGGAAAGTTACATTGCCTATGTCTTGTTTTACTGGTTGGAATTTTTGTTTCATAAATGAAAGTGAGCAACACTAAGGAATCAGTGTCACCAGTAAGTATACAGTTGAGGATATTACAGTCAGATAAAAGGTGTAACCAGAAGAGCTAGCTATGAATTATTTTCATAGCAGTAATGAACTATACTTATTATGGCATCTGTAATGTTGATTTTTTCACTTATTTTTTTAACAGTCATTCACATTGTAGTTTTTGCTGTTAAACTAGCTGTGACGACTGCTGAATTAACTGTGTATAAACATATGTTAGGATGACGACTGATATACAATTTTAGTTTCTTTCTAACAAAACATTCCAAAACTTGTGGTAAATAAATCTTATTAAATCTTATAGCTATTTTTAGTCACTTGTTAACCATTAACTCAGTCTTGCAAATCATGAACAAATCTTTTGGTGTTCTCTGTGCATTTCAGTAATCCACTTGATGGGCTTCCTTCACTAGAATCAACACCTCCATAAAATGACCTCAAAAGATGTACATAAAAATGCATAATGTGTACGTGAAATTTGTGTGTATAAACAATCTGATCTTAGTATATGCATATTGTAAGATGATTGTGCACACAAAATTGTGTGTGTTCTGTGGGTTGGAGCCCTACAAATACTGTGGTGACACTTTTTTGCACTACTTTTGTGATGCTATGAACATTTGAATATGAGATTCTGGTGGAAAATACCGCAAATGTAGTAATTTAAGTCTTATTTAAAAGGATAGCAAGTTTATGAACCAGATCAAAAATTAAACTATATATCTGCTTGTCATTCAAGGAGCAACAGCTAAAGAAGATCAAAGCAAAACAAAAGCGTCTCCAAGCAATTCTTGGTGGAACAGACATTCTTGATAAAGTAAATGAGATTGAATTTGAGGAAGATGAAGGTATGGGAGAAGGTTCAAAGTTCTGTTCTACTTTGGTATAATGTCTTTTTTTGTTTGAAGCTACTTTGTAAGTTCTTTGCCAATAAGGAAATACATTTCAGTGGTTTGCTTTCAAAGAGAGAGTTAAGAACTCTTATCTTCTGCACCTGCAGATTTGCAGATCTTGGTATATTCATGTGGGAAGTTTTAAAAAATGGATGTTAATCTGTGTTTAGCTCTGTAGGGATGGCTGAGGCACATTAGAGTATTGGGCGTAATAAATTGGAAATCCTAACATTTTTTCACAGCTAATTTGATAAAGATGACTAACATCATGATTGAATTACACTTTATATGCTGGATGCTATCAATCAGCATTTACAAAATTGTTTTTTCTTACTGTTGGGAAGTATCACTAGAAAAGGAAGGGAGAAGTGCTTCTCTTTTTCAGGCTGCACTGTGGTTTTAAAAAAAAATAAAAATAAGGCTTCTTCCAAAGCAGGATATTTGTTCTCTCAGTGTTTCACTAGGTTTTCTTTCTCACTGCTGTCTGCAAAATGAGCTTGGATTTTGTAACTCCAGCTTGGCTGCGTCTTGGTGGCAGTCACTAATCTGCAGTATTCTGCAGGTCAAGTTTGGGACCCTGTTGACATCTGCACATCACCTTTGCGTTATTTGTTGTTTGCAGAGGTGTAAACTCTTTGTGCTACTTGTCCATCGCAGATGTGGCTGGAGTGGATTCTAGATCTCGCAGAACTCATGCTTCTCTCCTGATTCAGCAAAACTTACTGGACGCAAAACCTCAGTAAACTTTTCTTAATAGAAAAGCTTCTTTAATCCTTTTTCTTTGAATGTCTTCATGTAGTAAAACTCAGGCACCCAGTGTGATGAAATGTAACTAGGAAGTGAATGGAGCCCAAGGCAGAAGAAATAGAGTTGAGCAGTTCCAGTAGTTTGGGAAACTGAAGGGGTAGAGAGGGAGGAGTTTCATGCCTGATGCATCATTGTTACTTGTTAAACATGTTCTGGTGATAAATACAGTACTTTAAGTGGGACCATATACAGTAGCAAGCTGTGCAGGCAATTCTGGTACAGCTATTCTGAAATTTTGGACCCTAATAATAGATTTCAGGTGGAATTCCCTTTCAGCTTCCTGAATTCAAGAGCTTTTCCCTCTCTTTGGTTTCAAACACCAAATTATAGTTTGTGTTAATATTTCTAGTAACTGTGTAAGCACTTTAACTGAAGTGCTCTTTTATGGCAAGGTGCTGTGCAACCACTCTGACTTTTAATATTATTATTGTAGAGTAGGAAGATGGCGTTTGTTTTCTTTTTTTTGAAGCATGTGGCAAGACAGTCTGTTATGTTTTGTAAGATTTGTATCTGTCTTGGTGTGGTAATAAAAATGTCAAATTTCAAGCTTATGAGTAGGAGTGAAAAATGAATAATAAAAATAGAAATGGATGATGTTGCTGCATGTAGGAATGCAGTGGTTTCTTGCACTAAACGTGGTGACATGGGTTGAATTGATAGAATAGTGAGCACATTAGAGTTCATGTGCCATGGGGGACTGTCATTTTATGATAGTTCTTGCTGCTGTATGTTGTTTCAGAAGTATTTGCATTTTGATGGTATGTGTAATGTTTCCTGTGTGAAGATGGAGAAGTAGTTTGAAGTAAAAGTTAGTCTGACTTTTTTAGCCTTCTGTTTTGTTGGGTTTTGCCTTTTTTGAACTTAAAGTATTATCTGTGTTGATAATTTGGACTTTTAAGTTGTATATAAAAACTGAACTGAGTGCACATAAAGTTGGGGGAAAAAAACAAAATTGTGTTTGAGTTATTCAGAAGATGTTAAAGACATGCTGGATGTTCTGATTTTTGTTGTAGAACCTGGTCCATCATGTCTTGGCAGTATGCTTATGCCTGTTCAGGAAACAGAGTGGGAGGAGCTTATTCGTACTGGCCAGATGACTCCATTTGGAACTAAAATACCTCAGAAGCCAGAGAGGAAGACACGACGATTAATGCTAAATGAAGCATCTGATTTTGAAAAGTACTTAGCAGACCAAGCTAAGCTGTCATCTGAAAGAAAGAAGTTATCCCTTCACAAAGGAGCAAAGAAGAAAGCACAAGCCAAAAATGTTCAGTGTGTAGCTCCCGCATCTACTACAAAGGAAAAAAGGGGTAAAGCCCTGTCAAAAACAGACAAGCGCTTAAAAAAACACATGAGAAAACTTCAGAAGCATGTCCTTGAAATTCAGTCAAAGACAGGGATTCCAAAAGAAAAGAAATATCTTGAGCCCAAGAAGCTCAGGCATGAACAGGAGGATGATAGTGGAGAGTCTGAGTATGTACCTGATGAGGAGCTCTTTGATCCAGAAGCAGCAGAGGAGGAAGAGCAGGCATCTTCTCATGTAGAGAATGATTCTGATTATGAACTCAGGAATTTGTCAAGAAAAAGAAAATACTCGGTGAAGAGAGATTTTAAAGAACCTGAAGATGATGCTGACTTCTTTCCAAGCTCTGAGGAAGAGGAGCATACACAGGGGAAGCGCAAAGTAAAAAGATGGAGAGACGATGGAGATGAAGACTATTATAAACAGAGAATAAGGTTAGTCCTAGGTACTTTTATTAGTACCGTTAACAAATGATATTGAACGTGCAAAGGGCAGTGTCTGTAATACAGTGCTAGGAACTGAAATAAGGAAAACAAGACAGAATCATCATAGCCTTCCAAAAGAAGTCAGACATACTTTTTAATTGCAAGGACTTTGCTGTTAAATTTTTCTGATTGTTATATGTCCTTCAGTAATAAGCTATTTGTGTGTCAGTGTGGTTTTTTGTTTGCATAACTGTGAATGTGCCCAAAATGGAGTATATATGAAACAACGTATTACTTGGCAGCTTTATACTTAAGTACTGCTTTTGTCTATAGATCACATACCTATCTTAAAAAAAAAAGAGTCTTCTGTTTGATGGCAAAATTACAGTGCAAACAGACAACACCCTCTCTCTTCAGGATGGCATTTTTCCACTGAGAAATTTTTGATTTGGGATGGAATGCGTTGCTTAGTTTTCATCTTTAAGTAAGTGCTAGTCAAGAAGAAATCATTTGAATAAATGATAGTTACATACTGTTTTCGTAGAATCTGTTAGTTTATTGAAATACAAGGCAATTATATGTAATTTATATGGCTAACAGGTTTATTTGAAAAATCAATATTAAAAGTATCTTTTTAATTTAAACTTCAAAAAAATTATACTGGAAAGGACAATATCTATATTATTTGATTATTAGCACATGATATCTCTTGCATAACTTATATTAGAAGACATAAGTAATGAAAACTGGACATTTATATTTCTGTTAGTAAAGTCTAAAAAGAGATGCTCTGTTTGACGGTGATTTTCCTCTTTGTTTGTCATGAGAGTGAGGGTAAAAACATCCTTACATCCTTATCTAAAGAAGTAGTGACAATGGCGGTAGTAATGGTGTTGTCTGTTGCTATGATGACCTAAAGTTGTAAACTGAGTAAGGTTTCTAAGGAGGATCAGCATCTTCTAGTAAATAAACTGGTATGTTAGGTGAGGAAATACAGCTAAGAACACAAGTTATTTTTGAAAATGGCAGCTGAAACACCTCGTGCTGATCTGTGATTTATGAAATTTTTATAACCTGTGTGTTGATGATCTCTCTGTAGCGACCGTGTGCTGTTGAGATGTTTTCTCTACTGATAGCATAGCTGTTTTGCTCCGAACAGTAAGACTGAGCAATGTTTCTATTTTCACAACTGCCTGGAAAACATTTTGAAGCGGCAGTGAAGTGACATGTAATTTATTAAGCTCTGAAAATGCTAACTAGACATGCCAGTGAAGTTAAGAAGCATTTGTGCACATACTGGGAGTCAAAAGATCAAGATCACCAAAATGTTTTTTTTGTTTGTTTTAATTGTTCTCTAACCACTGGCATGTTATCTCTTTTCTAGTAGAAGTGTTGAGCTTCATATAATGAACTTCAGCTTGTTGATAGCATGCTTACTTTAATTAATTATCTTTATTGAATGTCCTTCAAGTAGTTTTATAGTCCTCTAGAAAATCATGGGTTCCAACATGAAAACAGCTGCTCTAGAGTGAAAGGAAGAATAGATACTTGGGCAGCCAGTGAAGAGTTGTTGATGCAGTGGTAAGGCCTAGCATAGGAACTTGGTTAATGCCTGGGAGACTCGATTTTTACGCTTCTGTGGAAATATAAAACCTATGGATGTAAAGGGAGCTGTATTGGAGAAACGGTCAAGAAGTAGAGGTATAATAAACACCATCTCTTCTCTGTGGTGAGAGCCTGAGCTGCTGTGGAGGAAGAGGTATCCTCTGATAGCAGAGGTACTCACAGTTGTAGAATGACTGGTAACAAAGCAGGAAGAGCCCAACTTCACCTTTGCATAACCAGGTTACAAAGGCAGATCAGGAGCTGAGATGAGGCAATAGGTTTGCAATCCCAGGATAATACTTTACAAAGTTAAAGCATAGTTTATTGCTTCTGAATAGAAGATTTTGGCAAGAGGCTGATCTGAACAATGTCCAAAGGGTCAAAAAGAAATAAGTTTTTTATTGGATGCATTAACAAAAATTAATTGTACTTAATTGGTAAAATATTTACTATTTCATTGAATAAAACTGTACTCTTCACGTTTAAATTAGACCAATATTAAATCATTTTTAATTCAGTGTTTTCATCAGGAGTAATTTATTTTGATTGAAAGTTTTAATATGACTCACAATTTAAATTCATTCAAACACGTTTTTTAATAACGTTAAGATTGTGACAATTTATCCTTAGCAAAGTCATATCATAGACTACATTTCTTTTGGTTACGAAAGTTACAATAAAAGCCTAAATGAATTTTAGAAATATCAATAACTGTAATCGCTACCAAAACACTATGTCTCTTAAAAATTTCATAGCTACGGTTATTGTGGCTGTTAAGCTGCAGCTGTCCACATTGACGTTTTTATGCTGACACCCCCAGGTAATCTTCATTATGGGAAGTGCCATGAGAAAATAAAATGTAGTGAATTAAGAAACATATTAAGAATGCTATAGAAATGCTGTCATTTGCTTACATTTATGTCTTGTTTCATGTCAGTTTTACTTTTGAATGCAAATGAATGAGTGAGATTATGGTATATTTTACCCCTGAGAGAGGCAAGGGAAAATCCTTTAGGATTACTTTAGTCTTCTGAACATGTAGTCTTGTGCTTGGTGCCAAATACAGTCCTATGCTCTTAAAGATTGAAAATTAGTTTCCTTTACATTAAAATTTTTCAGAGATGGGACTTGAAGAGATTGGTCTGTGTCAAGGGGAAAATACAATGATGTTGTTAAAGCATGATAATTAGCTAACTGCAGGACTGCAAAGCATCGCTAGAACAAGAGACTGTTTCAGAACAGGAGCTGGTGTTTTCTCAGTAAACAGGGCAGGCAGGAGAGCACCCACCTCTTTCTTTTCCTTGACCACTGCTGCTTGCAGTGGTCAGCCTAGTCATTCAAGGCAAGATGTGATCAGTGGAACATGAAAAAGTAAAAGTTAGCTATACAGAATTCAGCTCACGCTGTCAGTAATTTCAGTTCTTTTCCCTTGCTCGGGTCTTGCTTTTCTCTAGTTACTGTTACTGGGCCATGTTGCTGTGCAGACATGCAGAGGGGGGAATCTTCTGTTCTGAAAAGGTTAACATCTAAGGTAAATCATAGCGTGCAAGAAACTTTAGGGTTACGAAGAGTAAGGTAAATAAGTAGGATACAGTCAAGCAGCTAAAAGGTAAATTTAAGATTCAGTGAAAAATAGTGTCTCACCATTCCCAACTGTCCTTCATACTGGCTGGTACCTGCTGCAC